CTGTCCTGAATTAGACGCTATGACAATATAGAACTATTTGGACGATGGCTGTCCTGAATTAGACGCTATGACAATATAGAACTATTTGGACGATGGCTGTCCTGTATTAGACGCTATGACAATATAGAACTATTTGGACGATGGCTGTCCTGAATTAGACGCTATGACAATATAGAATTACACAACATACATATGTTAGTCACGATACATGTTTTCCATGTTAAAGCAACAGTTTACATATGACTGAACATAATATCCCTGACACATAGTCCATTCAATGACCGAAAATATATAAACCTCACACACTTAACACATGTAGCTGATACATTACCTGTGTGGGTACCAGTATTCACACCAGATACATTACCTGTGTGGGTACCAGTATTCACACCAGATACATTACCTGTGTGGGTACCAGTATTCACACCAGATACATTACCTGTGTGGGTACCAGTATTCACACCAGATACATTACATACCTCAATCTTACCAACTTAACAGGGTAATATCGAAGTCTGTATGATTTTACACCAAGCATTGTGACACGCCCTTGAAGACATGTGGTGTCAAAAGTCAGTTCACAAATTCAATATGGGTGTGTGGACAGGTCCAGAGAAACAGCTGGCCAGGGGAGTACCGGGACGTTCTGCTGTCTCAGTAAATCTGTCACAACACGAGCGACATGTGGTACGGGCATCATCTTGCTGATTTTCTGTAAGCCGTGGCATGACGTAAGCACAGTTTAGGTTGACTTAACGTGTTTACCACAACATTCAGATGCTAGAGAGTAATTGACCACTCTTCAATTTTCAATATCAGATGTGCGAAGTTCAGGTGTCAAAAAGCATGCAAAAAAGTGGGTAAGTTCAGATGTTTGATGGGCACTTAGAAGTGCACGAGCCACGTGCAGAACGTGACATCAAAGCAAAGTGCTTTGATTCATGTTTATTTAGGGTTATTTCAATAACTTTTTAAATAACGTTTATTTTATGCAATTATATATTATGCACAGTTACCTTTTTCTGTTAGTATATCTATGCAAGACCCCACAGACAGTTTTGTTTTCTCATTAGAATCGGGTTGAACTTTAGTGACGCTGTTTAACTAACGAATAAAACAAAATACAAACATTAACCATCAAACTGACTAAAGTTATAGCAATAATATCAGGTTACTAACTTGTTCGAGGAATGTATCTGCAGCTCACAAAGAAACCTGTTCCATGGCATGTGTCATTTAACAGTCTATTATGCAAAATGTGTATATAACGTTATAACAAGCGATAGTTTCTCAACTGGTCACGTGACTGTTTCAGGTTTTTCACATTGGTGTATAGGTTCATTGGTTACCCTAGATAGCTCGCCTGACAACTATGATGTCCATCAACTCTTTAAAAAAGTAAGTTAGTTACGCCGTAGACCCGGGTTCGAATCCCCACATGGGTACAATGTGTGATGCCCATTTCTGGTGTCCCCGCCATGATGTTGCTGGAATATTGCTAAAAGCGGCGTAAAACCAAACTCAGTCAGTCAGTCAGTTAATCAACGTATTGGCGGTTAATCCTTTGAAGGAAGGACGTTGGTTTTACACAATCACTTTACGACAGAATGTGAGTGGATTCTGTTAGTAAATCTACATACATAAACACTACCTTTTGACAAAATCCGCTGCGCAGGATAAACGTAATACATTTAAATCAGTCAGCGTGTTGTCGGTTAATCCTTTGATCGATGTTTGTCTTTTAACTCAGCTGATCATTCCTCATGCTGCACTTCTATGCGCATATTGCATAACATGTAATACATTTGCCACACCAGACATTAATTCATAATGTTGTTTACTCCAGACACGAGAAATGCTAAATGTGAACCTTTGTCTGGTAATCTGAGTGGTGTTACCACTAATTATACCTGTTATAAATTCAGTAACTGACCATCAAGTGAATGATGACAAATAAACAGGTGTAGGTTTATACTACCAAACACGGGTTACAAGGGAGTAGTAGTCGCTGTATTGCATGCAATTCTAATTGCCTAAAACACTTAGGGGTAGAGACTGTTTCGAGGATACGAACGGAACTTCATTGTTGCATAAGAAATACATGTAAGTATTTGCTGTGCACTGAAGATAAAAACTGTATATGCCTACACTCATGCGTTTTCAGCAGTTCATGTCGACATATTTTCATATTTTGACTGCAATCGTCATTAAGACAATTCCTATGAAATGCACAATGCAATTTAGAAAGTGGTCAAATGTATGCTCATCGGTGGAAGCCGCGGTGGCTGAGCGGTCTAGGCATCTGACTTTGTGTGCTGGCGCTTAGGAGGTGCCTGACTCTGAGGCAGTGGGTTCGAATCCCCGATGGGACTCAACCCAACGAAAGTACAATGCAGCATCTGTACTTTACTAAAAAAGTGTAATCCCAAATATAACATATGTAAGACAATTCATATTTTTGAATCCCGTTAATCATGTCGTGGTTGTTTGTAAACGTTTGTCATAAAAAATGAAAACGACACATATAAAGTGCATGCAGAAAATGTTTTCCACGTAATGCACGTGCAATGTGTCCGAAACGTCCAATGCGTAGAGACATCGACTATGAAGGGCCAAACCAATTTCATCATTTCATTACGAAATTTACGACGTAAACGAATATAAGAATGCCAAGATTGAATTCTGCTGACCGAAATATCGTCACCCCACCGCCCGACATGTGGACAGATTTGGTTGAGAATGCGTCATGGTGTGGGGAGCCATGTCCGACAAGGGTAGATCTGAGCTAGTGGTGGTTCAAGGCAATTTTACAGCAAATCGCTACATCGACCAAATCCTGCGACCTCATCTCTTCCCACTTTTTAACCGCCAGAGGGAGCTGTTTCAACACGACAACGCTCAACCCCACACAGTCAGCTCGTATAAAAGGTGCCTATCTCGCCAGTACAAACATCAGTGGCCTTCCAAACCGCCTGATCTGAACCCGAGCGAGTATTTATGGGACCAGTTGGATCGACGCGTCCGTAAACGTCACCATCGTCCTCAGACGGTATCCCTCAGACTTGCAGAACTTACCAACGCGTTGCAGGGGGGAATAGCGAAGAATTCCCCAAGCAAAAGTCCGACGACTTGTGCAATCCTTTCCAAGGTGGTGTCGAGCAGTGGACAGCTGCAAAGGGTGGTGTCACCAGGTATTGACCTGAATGCCCCCCTGTGTCCACACGTGCAGTGAGTTAACTGAATTGATGCTGACAATGACAATACATATGTTATCCGTGTGTCGAATGTCCTTCATCTACGTTCAAGCTCAGTCGACTTGTGTACACTTAAATACGTTTATTACATTTCCTTATTTTTGGACTGTGCGTTTCTTTTTTTCTTATTACCTAAGTACATTTTCAGATTTTTCCAGCAATGGCAAAGTATGGTTGATTTAGATTCCAATAAACCAAATGTGTGTTTTTGATATCATAGCTAAATACACATCAAGCTGTTACATGACATGATTAAATATCAACGTAAAAAACACAGAAATAGCATTAACTTCGATCAGTCATCATTACACCACACGCATTAGAAAATCCGAAAAGCCTACACTGCTGGGATACTGTGTTACAATCAGACAAGAAGTACCGGGAATATTTTCAAATGACGGCACCTGATGGGCATCCACCGTTCTCATGGTCCCTCATTGGTTGAAGAAATTCTGCCAAGGCGGACAGCTGCCCAGTCCCCGTGTCCGTCACGGTCGAGGGAGTAGGGACTGACAGCCTGACGTATTAGATTGTTGGCGCGAAACATTGATCGCTCTGGATCAGTGCCCCATTAATATGTTGCATCTAGCGTGATAAAATATTTGTAAACATTTCCCTCCATGTTAATTTAATGTGCTTCGTGTTCACTACAAATAACACTGTGAGGTGAAATTGGGTTTAACGTCATGCTTGAGAATATGTCGCTCATATGACGACGTGTATGCGTGTGTGTGTATGTGCGGCTGCTTGTACTAGCCCAGACTTAAGCTGGTCTTATAGTGCTAGCCCACTGAGATACCATGCCGCAGTGAAGCATGAAAACCAGCGTTTAAAATTCCCGCCTGCCCGACCGTCCGGAATGGTCTATTTTCATCTCGGACGGTCAAATATCAAAAGTAGCGTGTCCGGTGGTCTGGCAGATATTTTTACCCCTAAGTGTAAATATTTCATAATATCAGACAGGTTCTCGTGTCGTCAGTTTTAGGTGTTTAAGGTATTATGAAAATTATGTTAAACTACACACGATTGTACAGTTTATGTTACGATAACCAATCATAACACATGTACTTTCAGTTTACCCAAACTCGGCGCATTGCCTGTCAGTGCTATGTAGTTCGTTGCGATCCCTACAAACATTGAATGGCAGTTACAGTTTTTTATTGTTGAAAACCGGACAGGCAAGCTTGTGTCCGGACTGGTAATTTTTTAAAGTTATCAGTCCGACTGTCTGGCTTGGAATTTTTGGAGTTTTAAACACTGTGAATACCCCACTCAGACACATTATACTGACTCCGAGTCGACCAGTCCTTGTTGTACCCATTCATTCCGAGCGCCAGTCAGGGACCAACAAGTACCATATTTTAACGTCTTTGAGTGTGACGCGGTCGGGGATCGAACCCGCGACCTTCCGCTCTCCGGGCGGACGCTCTAACCACTACACCACCGGAGGCGGTCGTATGTGTTTGAGTGTCGTTTGGTAAGGGATTTAAGTTAAAACTGTACGGTGTACACTGTTATTTTAAGAGTAAAGTCCGAATAGAAGTTGACAGTTTTGGTGAGCCATGGTAGGTTAACTAGACATGATTCGGATGTTGACAGAGTAACATAATCGCACTGAATGTGGGATTCGAACCTACGACCAACTATTGTATCGTGCGAGCGAAGGGACGCAATTCTGTACAGACATTTGCTATGCCTCGATCATTTCAGCTATATGTACACACACTGGACCTATACAAACCGTTGTCCGTGGGGTGTAGTCGGTATTGAGACATGCACTGTGCCTGAATACACATTCATGTGACGCAGTAACCCTAGCAACCCTAGGTGTCACTGTTGTCGTCGTAAGCGTTGGTGGCCGACATTCCTTTGGACGATTTCACTAACACAAAGGTATTAAGTGTTAGGCTACGTTTAAAAATATAACATGTCACGTGAATCACATCCATTGACACGGATGAGTTTGTTGTAAAAAACATTAAAGACTTGCGTCAATATATTGCCTCCTGCACTCTCATTATTGGCACATTTGTTTAGGTTAGGTGAGACGGTGTACTGGTAGCGTCTTTTCTGGAACTACTTTGCCGGAAACTTATCGACGCGCCCGAACACAGTTGTACCTGTCGCCAGTGCAGCTAACATAGCAGATGGGCTTGGATCATCGGAGGGACAGAGAACTGTATCCGAGATGAAGTTACTGGCTGTAATATGTATCTATTTCACCATGAAGCGTGGAACTGATGCATCGTCCATTTATAACATAGATGATTCAGCTGGATTAGGAAAACGGTTCGACGGCATTGGAGGTCTCAGTGGGGGGTCGGTAAGTGACGCTTCGGTCTCTTCCGCGTTTCCGCAAAGGGGCATCTCAAAAGTTGTGCATCACTTTTAGGTGAAATAATCAACAGGTGCGAGACCAACTAAATTTATGACGTTTTGTTATACATACGTACATGTTGTTCGTGGTGTTTTATAATAAAAAATAGTTAAATAATTATGCATACAATAAAGTGATATAGGCCTATATATATATATATATATATGGAGATAAGGGAAGTAAAAAACATGATCCGGAAAGACTTCCGATCGTCCCAGCCAATTATATGCTTTCTTATTAACTAAAAATATATCTATAAGCAATATGAAAGTAAATTTGCTATGAATTGTATAAGGGTTATAGAGAATTTAATCTCACCCCAAGTTTCTACTGATATCAATTACATCACCACGAGTTGATAAAGTTACAAATATCCGAGGCATGCCGAGGATATTTTTACCTTTATCAACGAGTGTTGATATAATTGATATCAGTAAAGACGAGGGTGAGATTCTATTTATCATAAAAAATCATTCTTCATTAGTTTTCAATGAAAAATGTCCATCTCTCAACAATGTACTACCATTAGACTTGCAGTGCAGTGATGTCATATAGCATTGTGACCTCATCAAGTTGATGACATCGTAGCATTGTCAGGGCATTGTACAAGATCTACTGTCATTAAACGATATCTCCATATGTATGATCTCACGCAAGCGATATCTCCTGTGAAACACAGTTTTGGATGATAAACAGTTTTAGTATCCATATGGTGAACATAACCAGTGTCATATGTGCACATATAACTTTTACCTAGCAACCATTGTTTCTCTATTCCATCGTCTGTGACGTCATTTAAATAATTGAACCTGACTTCAATGAACAGTCACACTTGCTTACTGTTTTACTGCACAAATGTACATGAATAAAATGGATAATAAAGAAATTATTACACTCGCAAGTGTGCCATACGACTTATACGAAACTCCTGCAAAATCGCTCAGGCAATACAAAATTTCACATTCGTTTCATATAAGTCGTATGCCACACTTGCTCGTGTAATAATCTCTATTTACAACCCCAACCCTAACCATGCATAACCATGTCCACAAAACGAAAGTCGCAGGAACGATCGTAATTCGTTGTTAGCATCACCCAAATGGCAACAGTTTCCACAATAAGCCTATTTTCAAGTCTTGAGAGATACCATGAAGATCCAGGGCAGTCAGACTTGTTCAGCATGTTGTAACTTATGTAAGAGGCGACTAACGTCTTGTTTGTTGGTTTGTTGGGGATTGCCTAAAACTCGGGCTGGGGGGGGCAACGGCATTATTGGCTACTTTATCCACTAACGAAAACCATGCCTACAATTTATTTATGCATCTTACACCCATGATAATAGTGAACAATCAGAAGCCGCAAGTGTGTACCATAATATATTAGCTTTTTTATTGTGAGTAAATCAATTATCTAATTAAAACTCAGTAAGACCAATGGCCTGATCTAATGTGTCTGAGCAAGGTTACGTCTAAGAGTGGAAACGTTACATGAAACAGGATTCAAAACGTATAAATACTTCCGTCTGTACTGATACACATTTCTGTCGGCCCGGAAAAAGCTTTTTCATCTATATCCAAGCAAATGCCACCCCAGAAGGTCACTGTTCATCATGTTTAGAGAATATGCCAACTGGTAAGAGATCAATCTTTCCTTACACTCTCATCCTTATCTCTGTCACAATTGTTCAGTCCTGCTTGGCACGGGTGTCAAAAACAACCTCACAGATCTATCTTGAATTGTGTTTACATCTGTAGAATGGTATTACATCTACCTAAATGACAGTTTGTATTGTTACAATACATCACATGTAAAGATAGCTGGTACATTGAAGTGAAGCCATTTTCCCTCTCCATATAGCCTCAGTCAAAAGTGTTGTCTCTGTTCTGCCTGACATGGCCTGGGCTCTCAAAAGCAGGTGTAGGACAATTCCCCACACAGACATTTCCCCACATGACAATTCCCCACCAGACAATTCCCCATCACGTGAGTGACAATTCCTCACACCTTAGCTCTTTTTATGATTTTTCAGATCAACATAAGTTGCTTAGTTGACTAATGTAGCAGTCAAGACCCAGTGATTGAGTTCAAATTTATATTCACATCGGCAATATGACGTAAAACGGTTCTATTTAAATAATTTATAATGTTATACCTTAATTTCTGTCTGCGAAGGACAGTAAAAGAACTAGAATATCACTGTGAGAGATTTAAAAGTAGCATGTGACTTAAAAGTATATACTATTTATGACATTACAATATACAAACAGGCTATAGATCACCAGCAACTGAAGGTAGATCACCATACTATGGACCATGGGAACTTACAGTGCCTTTGCTACCTGCATGGACCCTAGCCGGATTTACACCATCCCTTCATCCGCTGGCGATAGGACCCTAGCCGGATTTACACCATCCCTTCCGCTGGCAATAGGGACCCAGATTTACACCATCCCTTCAGCTGGCTTATAGGACCCTAGCCGGATTTACACCATCCCTTCAGCCGCTGGCGATAGGACCCTAGCCGGATTTACACCATCCCTTCAGCCGCTGGCGATAGGACCCTAGCCGGATTTACACCATCCCTTCAGCCGCTGGCGATAGGACCCTAGCCGGATTTACACCATCCCTTCAGCCGCTGGCGATAGGACCCTAGCCGGATTTACACCATCCCTTCAGCCGCTGGTGATAGGACCCTAGCCGGATTTACACCATCCCTTCAGCCGCTGGCTGGCCTAGCCGGATAGGACCCTAGGACCCTAGCCGATTTACACCATCCCTTCAGCTGGCGATAGGCTAGGATTTTACACCATCCCTTCAGTCAGCTGGCTTATAGGACCCTAGCCGGATTTACACCATCCCTTCAGCCGCTGGTGATAGGATCCTAGCCGGATTTACACCATCCCTTCAGCCGCTGGTGATAGGACACAAAACGGTACACTAGAAAAACCACAATGAGGTGGGAGTGTTCAAGCAGATTGTCTTTATCTTGCAAAGGTGCCCTGACTTCTGATGTACAATACATAATAAACGTGTCTGATACTGACAATTAAACTGGACCTATTGATACTGATTATTGTTAAGGAGCGTGAAAAAATAAATAAATATATCATTAAAAAAACTCAATTTGTTGTTATTCATACTTTTTTATGTGTGGGGAATTGTCCAAGTGGGGAATTGTCCTGTGGGGAATTGTCCAAGTGGGGAATTGTCCTGGGAATTGTCCTGTGGGGAATTGTCCAAGTGGGGAAATGTCTGTGTGGGGAATTGTCTGGACTCCCTCAAAAGCACCTTATAAGATACACGATAAGCCTCTATGAAGTGGTATTTAGGTAGTAGATATAATACCATATTGCCTTTCATGTGTAACTCAAGTAATCAACAAAGCTGTAACAGCTTTAACCAATATTCAAACATGTCATATTTGTCCATTGACATTCGCCCAAATCCTCTTTGCATTAACATAAACATCCTGCCCTGATTCAGCATGAGGCATTAAAGGTTAATTAGGGAGCCCCAATATTTTAATTAAGGAAAAACACTGTCACTTCCTGCCTGAGGACATCACAAGCTAACATAAGTAAGTAACCTTCTCATCAAAGAAAACACATAGCAACAAGACGGTGGCTTTTGTATCACTTAGGGACACTCGGTATGTAGTCAGAATTTTCTTTTTATTTCATGATTAAATATACATTTTCAATCAAACTACCAGGGATGGCAATTTTCTGCTGATCCACAGATTTTTGCCGATTTTATATCAAATTGATCAATTCAAACCCCCCATTCGATGACACAATATTAATTTTACAGCTGAAAATAGATTTTCCTGTTGCCATCCCTGAACTATACATTTGTGAATGCAGGAAGTATATCTACACAGATGCACAGGTTTCATTTTAATATTCTGCAGTCCATTTTTAGTTGTACCTGACCTGACTTTTCTTGGCCCGAGTTTTAGGCACTCTCGGTTTGTAGTTTAACACTGCACTCACCAATGTTCAAGCTATTGGACTGTAAATAATCAAGTCTGGACCAGACATTCCAGTGATCAACATCAATTTAATGATCTACGCAATTGGGGTATGATGACATGTGTCAACCAAGTCAGCGAGCCCAGGCAACTAACAAGATCAGGTGATGAGGCTCACAGATTTGGCTAACACATGGCATCATATCTCAGTTGTGTAGATCAATGCTTTTGATGTCAATCACTTGATTGTCTGGTCCAGACCTGATTGTTTGCAGAGCGTGGTGACTTGTAGCTGGTATACTGTGGAGTGTGGCAGTTCTCACCCTGGTTATCTGGGTATGATGCGCGCTCAGGTTCTACATTCACCCAAGCAATGACTCCACTGGACAAACAAGTTTGACAGTCACAATATGTGTTGACTATAGAAAATCCCAAGAACAAAATGGTGGTTAGAACTCACATATTAATTCCCAAAGTAAATATTAATCCCCAAAGTATATAATGGATCATGTAGGTAAGATGTCATCTGGCATTGTCTTCACGTTATCAACAGATGGAGTATTATTCATGTCTTCTGGAATGCTCATTGTGGCACACTTCAAATAATGATTGCTGTAAAACAAAACATGTTCATTAAAATATGCATAGCTTGTGTTCATGTGAATATTGGCATCATTAGCCTGTGAGTATAGTTTTGATATAGTCATATTTGTTATAAACATATTAATCATTTGGCGTTAAAAAAATACAAAATGATATGGTCCGTCAAGTCACTTTTGTTTCACTTACAGCAGTTACCATGAATGAAAATGAAATGTCTTGATATATCGGTATATCCTGTCATGAACAGTAATCAAAATAGGTTAAGCAAACATGAATTTACCAAAAGCCATGAACTTCCAGCACATACGGGCAGTCCTGTCATCTAAGTCACAGCAAGTCACTGTGCAGAGTTGCCTCCCCTGTAATGCCAGAATCCGGTGATTATGGGTTCGAATCCTGGTTAGCCTGGAGTTTGTGTCTCAGTTTGTCATCCTCATACCAGTGCTTGTGGGTTTTATCAAAGCAATAAAAGGTTTGGAGACTGGCATCACTTCAAGCTGACAAACCACGGTATAACTGGAATACTGTTGAGAACACCATTAAACCCAACTCATTCACTCATACATCTCTCGGCATTTGCGACCCATGAAGACCCGGGGTAGAATAGGTCTTCAGCAACCTATGCTTGCCATATAAGGCGACTATGCTTGTCGTAAGAGGCAACTAACGGGATCGGGTGGTCAGGCTTGCTGACTTGGTTGACACCCGTCATCGGTTCCCAATTGCGCAGATCGATGCTCATGCTGTTGATCACTGGATTGTCTGGTCCAGACTCAGTTATTTACAGAGCGCCGCCATTAGTGCTGGGAATTGGTCAAAATCTCATAATTGATGATTGGTTGATTACAACCGATCAATCATCGAAAATAATTGGTTAGCATCATTTATGAAATTTTCCTGATTATTTTTGTTAATGGACAAAAAAATAAAGATAAAACCCTGTAGTTCTTTGGTGTTGTTGCAAATTGCACAAAAAGCATTGGCAAATTTCACATCTTTAAAGGATGACTAGTAGGTTACGAACATTAATTTCTTGGAATCTTGAAAATAAATTCAACCATGACTTGGAACGAGCTTGTAGTGGTCATGAAATGTAACAGACAAAACCAACCTTGTGAAAAATATTGTCAATGCAAACAAGTGTCCAGAATTGTTTGTCTTTGATTGTGAGAAAACATGATCGATTGCTTGGTCGTTTAGACACTGCAACCAATCTTCGATTATTTCAATTAATCGGACCACCACTAGCCGCCATATAGCTGGAATATTGCCGAGTGCGGCGTAAAACTAAACTCACTCACTCACTCACTCAGTCACTCACTCACTCTCTCGACATTTGCATTTGAATGCAGACATTATCTGTCTCCAAATTGGCCCATATATTTTAGGAACATTGATTCATGTACTTTTACTCATTTGCTCAGATTGTTTTGGGGCAGAGGCCGCCGAGTCATCTTCGGTAACATGATTATCAGTACAGGGTTACATCCCTTGGGCATGTCGGGATCCTATCACTGTGTGTTTCCATAAAAGATTCATTACTGTCATGTGTCAACCTGTCTAAACTGATATCATCTTCAGAGTTAGCTGAACAACTAAACCAGTGTTCGTGGTGAACTTCTGACACCAGCATCAACACATTAGGATATTATTAAACTACTCACTCCCTCATCTGATGTATTTACTGAGTCATGTCTCATTCAAGTCTTCAGGCTTTCTTGGACTGAATGGAGAGCTATCTTCAGCACTAACTGTTGCACCTAATGCTTCAATAATCAGTTTGAGTAAACACTGTTATTAATAGAGCCTATTTATTGTTTTAAAAAGACACTACTGACAAACAAAGTAATATTTATAAATGAAATATACCTTAACCTGTGTGTTGACAATAATCTTACACACACAACGGACGGAAGGACAGAATAAAGTTACTACATTTTTCAAGGTTGATGTTTTTGAAGATGTATGTGAACTGTAGTCTGAGGTGTATCATGCAGTATTTGTAAATTTGTTGTGTTTCATATCTGGCACTTGGCAGATATCAAACTCGGTGACAGTTTGTTCACACCATGTACTTTATCAGGAATTAAGTTTAGATATGATTATTCATTATTGTTAAACACAAATGAAATGATAGTCATTTAGATAATGCCTATATTACTATTATTAGTAACTTATGCTTTATAATGGTATGTTGTATAACAAGCTGTAGTGTCATGTTGGTCTTCCTGAACTTCCAGGCTACATCCAAACTGCTGAAAGCTTATCTCATCCAACAGAGGAACCAGGTGTTAGATATTCTCTTTAAGGTACGTGTTCATGCTATGTTATGATACAACCACTGTGTTTTATAGGCCAATCATTATTCACAGATGTGATAACTGTTTGTGTTCAAGGGGTCCAAATCTTACACGGTAGACCTTTCCAAAACATCATTTACCAATAATGCCATATATATTTGAACCCATCTTGCTGTACATCTTGTCGATACAAGACAATATTTGAACCCATCTTGCTGTACATCTTGTCGATACAAGACACTATTTGAACCCATCTTGCTGTACATCTTGTCGATACAAGACAACTATTTGAACCCATCTTGCTGTACATCTTGTCGATACAAGACACTATTTGAACCCATCTTGCTGTACATCTTGTCGATACAAGACAATATTTGAAACCATCTTGCTGTACATCTTGTCGATACAAGACAATATTTGAACCCATCTTGCTGTACATCTTGTCGATACAAGACAATATTTGAACCCATCTTGCTGTACATCTTGTCGATACAAGACAATTTTGCCATGGTTGTGGTTTGTTTTTGCAGCCCAACTTTGCAGCCTCACTACAGATTCTGAAGGTAGAGATTGGAGGGGACTCTGAAAGTTCGGGTAGGTTGGCTGTTAGACATTATGTGCCAATGTATTCACTCACTGTAGTGTACATGACCAATGTATTCACTCACTGTAGTGTCCAAGGCCAATGTATTCACTCACTGTAGTGTACAAGGCCAATATATACACTCACTGTAGTGTACATGACCAATGTATTCACTCACTGTAGTGTACATGACCAATGTATTCACTCACTGTAGTGTACAAGGCCAATGTATTCACTCACTGTAGTGTACAAGGCCAATGTATTCACTCACTGTAGTGTACATGACCAATGTATTCACTCACTGTAGTGTACATGACCAATGTATTCACACACTGTAGTGTACATGACCAATGTATTCACTCACTGTAGTGTACATGACCAATGTATTCACTCACTGTATTGTACATGATCAATGTATTCACTCACTGTATTGTACATGACCAATGTATTCACTCACTGTACATGATTGTATTCATCACTGTAGTGTACATGACCAATGTATTCACTCTGTGTAGTGTACATGACCAATGTATTCACTCACTGTAGTGTACATGACCAATGTATTCACTCACTGTATTGTACATGACCAATGTATTCACTCACTGTAGTGTACATGATCAATGTATTCACTCACTGTAGTGTACATGACCAATGTATTCACTCACTGTAGTGTACATGACCAATGTATTCACTCACTGTAGTGTACAAGGCCAATGTATTCACTCACTGTAGTGTACAAGGCCAATGTATTCACTCACTGTAGTGTACATGACCAATGTATTCACTCACTGTAGTGTACATGATCAATGTATTCACTCACTGTAGTGTACATGATCAATGTATTCACTCACTGTATTGTACATGACCAATGTATTCACTCACTGTAGTGTACATGACCAATGTATTCACTCACTGTAGTGTACATGACCAATGTATTCACTCACTGTAGTGTACATGATCAATGTATTCACTCACTGTAGTGTACATGACCAATGTATTCACTCACTGTAGTGTCCAAGGCCAATGTATTCACTCACTGTAGTGTACATGACCAATGTATTCACTCACTGTAGTGTCCAAGGCCAATGTATTCACTCACTGTAGTGTACATGATCAATGTATTCACTCACTGTAGTGTACAAGGCCAATGTATTCACTCACTGTAGTGTCCAAGGCCAATGTATTCACTCACTGTAGTGTACATGACCAATGTATTCACTCACTGTAGTGTCCAAGGCCAATGTATTCACTCACTGTAGTGTTCAGGGCCAATGGAGGGCTGTCAGTTCTACTGTCTGTGTTTTTCTTGTAAATGCTATTTAAAAAGTGGTCAATTGGATCTCGTGTTATATTTTGGGATTACACTCTATCAGTAAAATACAGATTCTAGTACTTTCGTTGGGTTGAGCCCCATTGGGGATTGAAACCCACACCCTCAGAGTCAGGCACCTAATCGGCAGCACACAAAGTCAGCTGTCTAACCCACTCAGCCATTGCAGCTTCCAAATGTACTACAACCTGTACTTTACTGAGAATGTGTAATCCCAACTATAACCTGTGTTATAAAAGTGTTGTGCCTGTTGCAGATGCCACGGAGGCTTCACACATGCACAACAGCTGGGATGAGAACTACAACCGGGGATACGAATGGTGGATGATGGCAGAGGCTAAGAAGGTACACAAATCAGTGTTGTGTCCAGATCTTCATGTGGCCCAGGCCATTAACACCGGAGGAAAGCAATGTCCCTCTAGTTCTGAAAAATAATGTCCTTAAACGCTGCTCAGACCTGTTCTGTCACTTTCACAGTTTTGTGACACTCAGATATTCTGTCCATTGTACAGATTTATGTAGGATTTAACAAAGTACCCGTGCCAGGAAAATTGGGATACATTGTATTATTTCATCATTGTTTTGTTATTATAAAATGCAATTGTGAAAAAGTAAGCATTAAGACGGTCTTGTCAGTCCCCTATACTGGTCCTGTTATAAGGAAAATACTTGTCGTATCAACAAAGTCTTGACCCAGTTGATGCAGACACAATTGTCAATAACTTATTGAAAATGTATGGTTTATTTTAGGTTCTAAAGGGAGAATAAATGTTGCTCTCTGGTTGTTTCAGAGAAATCCCAGCATCAAGTTGTATGGCCTTCCCTGGAACTTCCCAGGCTGGATTGGCAACAGCACACAGAACCCTTACAACAACGTGAATGTCCTGGCCACGTACATCAGGAAATGGGTGCAGGGAGCACGGGACGTCCACAATCTGACCATAGATTATATTGGGGTATGGAGCCACTAGGGAGTTAAGATATCCACAACCTGACCATTGATTATATCGGGGTATGGAGCCACTAGGGAGTTTAGATATCCACAACCTGACCATTGATTATATCGGGGTATGGAGCCACTAGGGAGTCTTAGATATCCACAACCTGACCATTGATTATATCAGGGTATGGAGCCACTAGGGAGTCTTAGATATCCACAACCTGACCATAGATTATATCGGGGTATGGAGCCACTAGGGAGTTTAGATATCCACAACCTGACCATTGATTATATCGGGGTATGGAGACACTAGGGAGTTTAGATATCCACAACCTGACCATTGATTATATCAGGGTATGGAGCCACTAGGGAGTCTTTGATATCCACAACCTGACCATAGATTATATCGGGGTATGGAGCCACTAGGGAGTTTAGATATCCACAACCTGACCATTGATTATATCGGGGTATGGAGCCACTAGGGATTCTTAGATATCCACAACCTGACCATAGATTATATCAGGGTATGGAGTCACTAGGGAGTCTTAGATATCCACAACCTGACCATAGATTATATTGGGGTATGGAGCCACTAGGGAGTTTTAGATATCCACAACCTGACCATTATTATTTTATTATAGGATATTTATATAGCACACATATTCATGCACTAGTGCATGCTCAAGGCGCTGGTATTTGATTATATCAGGGTATAGAGCCACTAAGGAGTCTTAGATATCCACAACCTGACCATTGATTATATCGGGGTATGGAGTCACTAGGGAGCCTGAGATATCCACAACCTGACCATAGATTATATCGGGGTATGGAGTCACTAGGGAGCCTGAGATATCCACAACCTGACCATAGATTATATCAGGGTATGGAGTCACTAGGGAGTTTAGATATCCACAACCTGACCATAAATTATATCAGGGTATGGAGGCTCTAGGGAGTCTTAGATATCCACAACCTGACCATTGATTATATCGGGGTATGGAGCCACTAGGGAGCCTGAGATATCCACAACCTGACCATAGATTATATCAGGGTATGGAGTCACTAGGGAGTCTTAGATATCCACAACCTGACCATAAATTATATCAGGGTATGGAGGCTCTAGGAGTCTTAGATATCCACAACCTGACCATTAATTATATATCGGGTATGGAGCCACTAGGGGAGTTTTAGATATCCACAACCTGACCATTGATTATATCGGGTATATAGCCACTAGGGATTGAGATATCCACAACCTGACCATAGATTATATCGGGGTATGGATCCACTAGGAGCCTTAGATATCCACAACCTGACCACCTTGATTATATCGGGTATGGAGCCACTAGGGAGCCTGAGATATCCACAACCTTTTAGATATCCACGGGTATGACCACTTGTCTTAGATATACAACGGGACCATGGATTCACTATGGAGCCACTGAGATATCCACAACCTGACCATAGATTATATCAGGGTATGGAGTCACTAGGGAGTTTAGATATCCACAACCTGACCATAAATTATATCGGGGTATGGAGCCACTAGGGAGTCTTAGATATCCACAACCTGACCATTGATTATATCAGGGTATGGAGCCACTAGGGAGCCTGAGATATCCACAACCTGACCATAGATTATATCAGGGTATGGAGCCACTAGGGAGTCTTAGATATCCACAACCTGACCATAGATTATATCGGGGTATGGAGTCACTAGGGAGCCTGAGATATCCACAACCTGACCATAGATTATATCAGGGTAGGGAGTCACTAGGGAGTCTTAGATATCCACAACCTGACCATAGATTATATCGAGGTATGGAGCCACTAGGGAGTTTTAGATATCCACAACCTGACCATTATTATTTTATTATAGGATATTTATATAGCGCACATAGGAGCACTAGAGCATATCCACAACCTGACCATAGATTATATCGGGGTATGGAGCCACTTGGGAGTTTTAGATATCCACAACCTGACCATAGATTATATCAGGGGGGTATGGAGCCACTAGGGAGTTTAGATATCCACAACCTGACCATAAATTATATCAGGGTATGGAGCCACTAGGGAGTCTTAGATATCCACAACCTGACCATAGATTATATCAGGGTATGGAGCCACTAGGGAGCCTGAGATATCCACAACCTGACCATAGATTATATCAGGGTATGGAGCCACTAGGGAGTCTTAGATATCCACAACCTGACCATAGATTATATCAGGGTATGGAGTCACTAGGGAGTCTTAGATATCCACAACCTGACCATAGATTATATCAGGGTATGGAGCCACTAGGGAGTCTTAGATATCAACAACCTGACCATAGATTATATCGGGGTATGGAGCCACTAGGGAGCCTGAGATATCCACAACCTGACCATAGATTATATCGGGTATGGAGTCACTAGGGAGCCAGAGATATCCACAACCTGACCATAGATTATATCAGGGTATGGAGCCACTAGGGAGTCTTAGATATCCACAACCTGACCATAGATTATATCAAGGTATGGAGCCACTAGGGAGTCTGAGATATCCACAACCTGACCATAGATTATATCGAGGTATGGAGCCACTAGGGAGTTTTAGATATCCACAACCTGACCATTATTATTTTATTATAGGATGGACCTGACCAAGCACATATTATGGAGCCACTAGGCATACTCCAAGGCGCTGGTATTTGATTATATCGGGGTATAGAGCCACTTGGGAGTTTTAGATATCCACAACCTGACCATTGATTATATCGGGGTATGGAGTCACTAGGGAGCCTGAGATATCCACAACCTGACCATAGATTATATCAGGGTATGGAGCCACTAGGGAGTTTAGATATCCACAACCTGACCATAGATTATATCGGGGTATGGAGCCACTAGGGAGTCTTAGATATCCACAACCTGACCATTGATTATATCAGGGTATGGAGCCACTAGGGAGCCTGAGATATCCACAACCTGACCATAGATTATATCAGGGTATGGAGCCACTAGGGAGTCTTAGATATCCACAACCTGACCATAGATTATATCGGGGTATGGAGTCACTAGGGAGCCTGAGATATCCACAACCTGACCATAGATTATATCAGGGTATGGAGTCACTAGGGAGTCTTAGATATCCACAACCTGACCATAGATTATTATATGGGGTATGGAGCCACTAGGAGTTTTAGATATCCACAACCTGACCATTAGATTTTATTATAGGATATGGAGCCACATTATATGGAGCCACTAGTGCATATAGATATCCACAAGCTGGTATTTGATTATATCGGGGTATAGAGCCACTTGGGAGTTTTAGATATCCACAACCTGACCATAGATTATATCAGGGTATGGAGTCACTAGGGAGTTTAGATATCCACAACCTGACCATAAATTATATCGGGGTATGGAGCCTCTAGGGAGTCTTAGATATCCACAACCTGACCATTGATTATATCAGGGTATGGAGCCACTAGGGAGCCTGAGATATCCACAACCTGACCATAGATTATATCGGGGTATGGAGTCACTAGGGAGTCTTAGATATCCACAACCTGACCATAGATTATATCAGGGTATGGAGTCACTAGGGAGTCTTAGATATCCACAACCTGACCATAGATTATATCAGGGTATGGAGCCACTAGGGAGTCTTAGATATCAACAACCTGACCATAGATTATATCAAGGTATGGAGCCACTAGGGAGCCTGAGATATCCACAACCTGACCATAGATTATATCGGGGTATGGAGTCACTAGGGAGCCAGAGATATCCACAACCTGACCATAGATTATATCAGGGTATGGAGCCACTAGGGAGTCTTAGATATCAACAACCTGACCATAGATTATATCAAGGTATGGAGCCACTAGGGAGTCTGAGATATCCACAACCTGACCATAGATTATATCGAGGTATGGAGCCACTAGGGAGTTTTAGATATCCACAACCTGACCATTATTATTTTATTATAGGATATTTATATAGCGCACATATTCACGCACTAGTGCATACTCAAGGCGCTGGTATTTGATTATATCGGGGTATAGAGCCACTTGGGAGTTTTAGATATCCACAACCTGACCATTGATTATATCAGGGTATGGAGCCGATAGGGAGTCTGAGATATCCACAACCTGACCATAGATTATATCGGGGTATGGAGTCACTAGGGAGCCTGAGATATCCACAACCTGACCATAGATTATATCAGGGTATGGAGTCACTAGGGAGTCTTAGATATCCACAACCTGACCATAAATTATATCAAGGTATGGAGGCTCTAGGGAGTCTTAGATATCCACAACCTGACCATAAATTATATCAGGGTATGGAGCCACTAGGTAGTTTTAGATATCACAACCAGACCATAAATTATATCAGGGTATGGAGCCACTAGGGATTCTTTTTTATATATTCCTCCTTGGGGTACTTATAAGCATTTAAATGTCCATTTAAAATCCCTACGACAGTTGTAACAATATTTGAATAAAAATATTTACAAAACAAAAACTACGTTTTGTCTTGTGAGACCACCCTTACAGGGCCCTCCGGCCCCCTACAGCCTAGAGCAGGTAACTCTAGACCGTAACCTCGTACCTCACTTTCCATGCTGTCGTTTCCTGACATGGGTCCATTACAAGAAAGTTTTCTTTTCCTGACGAGAATTATGAGTGGGTCAGAAACAGCAACTGTATGTATGGTTCTCTTTTTTACCTGCATGGGCGATTTGAAGGCTTGTTCTGAACTTTTTCATTCATAATTTTTAGTTGTAACTTGGTACCTGTCGCGGTCGGCTTGCGGTGCGTGCCAAGATGGTGCCAGGTCCCTTCAGCTATCATCACTGTTCATTGGTTTCCCGTGTGGTTTTTCAATGTTACAGGTGGTTTTAGTAATATTTACTTATATGTGGTTACATGTAGGGCGTTTCCACTGCTTGCATTTTCTATCTTACGATAATAAGTCGTAGTTATGTCA